TTTTGTTTTTGTCATTTTTCTTTCGTTTTTGTTTTTGTCATTTTCTTTCGTTTTTGTTTTTTAATTTTTTTTCGTTTTTGTTTTTTTTTTTGTAATTTTCTTTCGTTTTTGTTTTTTTTTTTGTAATTTTGTTTCGTTTTTTTTTTTGTAATTTTGTTTCTTCTTTTTTTTTTTTGTAATTTTGTTTCGTTTTTCTTTTTTTTTTGTAATTTTCTTTCGTTTTTTTTTTTTTTTTGTAATTTTCTTTCGTTTTTCTTTTTTTTTTTGTAATTTTCTTTCGTTTTTCTTTTTTTTTTTGTAATTTTCTTTCGTTTTTTTTTTTTTTTGTAATTTTCTTTCGTTTTTCTTTTTTTTTAATTCTTCATTTCTTTTAATTCTTTCTTTTTCTTTTCTTTTTAATGAACATACTTACCCAACTTTTGGATCACACCTCATATACATTTAATTCTTAATAATTCTTTATCACTGCAATCAAAATTAGATGGAGGTTTTATGTTCAACAATGTTTGACTATTTCTCTGTTTTTCAACACATTTCCAAAAGTTCTCAATGAATTTCATTAAACGTAGGCCATTTGAAAATGTAGGCCATGAGCCAAGGAAAAATTGATTAATTTCTGAAGCAGACTCAGAAATTTTTCCAGTTGTGAGATATTTCATATATAAAAACAATCTTTTAAATATATATATATATATATATATATATATATATATAAAAGTTAAAACCTACACTATTACTTTCTCTGCATTGTATTTGTCTATGAACTAATTCTCATTCAGTTTTTAGCAACAATGCCATAAGCAAAGTTATGTTCTCACTAAAAATTACCTCTGAAATGACAGCTAATTCTGGAAGGAGTGGGGGAAAAAATGTAACAAGAATTGGGTTTTTATTTTCATGCCAATTAAAATGTTTAGAAATAAAAGCCAAAAACATCTCTAAAAAGAATTCAAATGGTATTTATATTATTTATAGTCAAACTAATTTCTTTATTACTATAAACATTATTTTTAGTGGGGACACATATTTATGTTGCTACCCCCCCCCTTTTAAACAGCAAAATTAATAACAATTGGCCTAGATAGCAACTCAGATATGTGTACCTACTAAAAATAGTAGTTATAATAAGAAAATCAATCCTATTTGTTGTTACTATCACAACATTTCGGCTGTTGGGCCTTCCTGTCTTCTTCAGGTTTCTGAGTAACTTGAATGTTTATTTAAACCTATGTAGGTAGATTATTCTTCTTCTAACCATGTTTATGGATATTTCAAGTTATTCATTTCTCTTTTCTTTTCTTTTTTCTCCAGTATTGCTTAGTTATTCCATTGACTCAGTCCTACCTAGCTCAGGGATTGAACTAACAATTACTAATTCACAAAATTGTATACCGTGGGTTGATCCAAGCCATATGAGTGAAATTAGGTGGGAAAAAAAAACTGTTCAGAAGCTATCAATGGCTAGCAGAAAGTCACAAGTCATTGTGTTCGAGGTTTTGAGTGTATGGGTCTTGTTCAAATTGTCAATCATATCAGGTTATACATTCACTTTCAGAAACTTTAATGTTTGCTCAACATAGTTGCAGTATAACCCACAGGTGGGTTCAGTGGGTATTGAACAAATACAAATGTGCCTGAGTAGGCATCTGCAACAGGGATTAACTAGCTACCTAACAGGTTAGCATACTTAGATATGAGTGGCTAGGCATCTAATGAAGTTCACTAAATAATATGTGGAATTTCCTAATTGCTGGAATGTTGTTTGTTTTTCTTTGCTTACATCAAAAACACAAATTATCTTCATGAAATCATTCATTGTCAAATGTAATAAACATCAAATCAAGCCATTAAGCGGCAACATTTTGACTTTAGTGTAAAAGTATGCAAAAGGTTTGTACTTGTCTTGGCATAGAAATTCCTGGCAATTCTTCAATGTTTGGTTTCTTTGTTTAAGGCATTGCCAAATGCAGTTCCTTGTGATTACTGAATAGTTTTTCTTTATTTAAGCATTGCATTTGTGAATATAACCGTTATTCCGTCTTTTATGCCAGTTACATCCGGCCTAGAAGAAGTAAATCTCTCAAACTGGAATTGATGGGATTCTTTTGCCAACTGAAGTTTCCAACTTAAAATTAATTTATCAAAAGAAAACCTATTTTATCTTCACGATTGATTCCCTGTTTACCTGAGGGGAAAAATCACTTGGCTTTTTACTTTCATTGTTTTAAGTAAGTTTCAAGAACTGTTGTCCTGAAAAAGAAGTTACAAACCTAACTATTAATTCAGTTAGGGTGAAACACATTTTATTGTCAATTCTGAATAAATGGGACTGAAATTTTGACTTAGATTTTTAACGTTTTCCCAGAAAAGTTATTTTGGCTTAATGGCAAGAATTGTATTCTGATCTTTTATCCAAAACCATTCAGAGCAGTCACATATTGGAAATTGGTAATTTTTTGCATATCATGATGGTAGTAGAGGTGTAGAGGCCTGTTAGTTGGTGTGATCTCTCGAATTTATATTTAATGCAAAATACCACAAAATATGAAACAATAAGAAGGAACACAAAATGATTTTATAACAACAAGATTTATATTTATGTATGTAATGATGTACAAGCATAGGGATTACTTCTCTTTGACTGGAATTAAAGTCTTTAATAAAGAAATATTTTTATCTGAGCTCATAAAAAGTTGAATGAACTTGTTCAAAATGTTCACTGAGAGACTTGAAAGATTTCTGTAAAGCTGAAAATATGTTGATAAACTTTTAGCTTCAGAAGAGTTGAAGGAGTGAATGTTCTGTTATGTTTGCAATTAAGTTTCTGTTACTTGTAGTTGTATATTCATAATATGTGAGTTTGTAATGTTTATAATGTCATAATTAAGTTTCATATGTATGTGTGCATGTGTGAATATGTTTTCATAGTGTCCGCCCGCAAGGGGGCGAAATGTGATTTCTTAAACGGCTACATTTTCATACGTGAGAGAAATCAAAAAGAAGAGAGTGAACGAACTTGTGTCTGGTATTTATAATCAACATAATCATGTAATAGGCTCTGGAGAAAGAAGCACAAAATTTTGACTTGGTCACATGCTGAAAAAAAACTTGTGCATGTGTGGATTGCAACACCCACTTGTGTGTTTATTGACCAATTAGAAGTTGAGGTTTTCTGAAAATATGTATGAAGCTGGATAAGCTCCACTTTTTGCACAGATTTGTGCAAAAATTGACATTGATAAAAAGAGTGGTAACAGGGTGCTAAAGAGGCACTGAATCTAGGGGAGATAATTAAGTGGGTTATGGAATAGCAATGTCCCTCTACTGAACATTGTAAATATTCAAGAATCGAGTTGTGGAAATTACTACTAAATAATATTACAGTTTATTTGTCTATTAGTAAATGAAATGAAATAAAGATAGACCAGAAGTTGTTAAGTTAAGACTATAAATAATATTACTGTTTATTTTTATTCTAGTAAATGAAATAAAAATGAATCATAAAATTTCTGGCATACTTTGTCTTTGAAAAAAAAATTCCTCCAAATGCTAAGCGTTACTTGGATATTGTGTTCATATTATTTAATTACATTAACTACAGGTGATTGCTAAATATATTGTAGGCTGAACCAAAACAGGATTTTAAAATATTTTGTCATTTGATGAAATTTTGAAAAATGAATCAGGCCAAGAATCTTTCAACACATTCTCATACATCAGATACAGTCAAAGAATCATGTGGCTCATATTCTAAAATATGGTTTATATAAAATAGGATACAATTTTGATGTCAAATTCCAAATTGAACAAGAACTATTAGACACCTGTGTCATGCACTCTTGAGATATTTTATTTAAACACATCACAATCACTGAATGAATCAGTTGACCAACCTACTAAAATTGGAATGAAATAGGATTTGATATCTGTGCCAGTAAGGCTATTGAACCTGAGACCTTTAGATTTTCATTTTAGTACTGTAATCACTGTACTATTTTGATTGGTAAATGAAAGTATTTGTTTGTTATTCTTCTTGAAAGCAAATAGGATTCTTTAGCTTAGGAGTTAAATAGGATCAACTGTTTATGAATAAAAATGACAATAGGAAAACTGGTAATTGCTGACGAAATGCGTCAGCAATTACCAGTTTTCCTATTGTCATTTTTATTCATAAATATTGTCTTCTCTACAAATTTGAATTGGAGAAATTTTCATATCAGGATCAACTGTATAGAAGGAGAGGTTATTAAAATCTGTTTTGTTCATGATTTAACAATGAATTTAGGTCCTCTCTAACCAAAGTCTATCATTTTTTTTCCTTCTCCTTGGTGGATAGCCATTTAGACAATTAGAATATTATAGAAACCACATATTCAAGATTGTTTCAGACAATTGTTTACTATTATTTAAAATGAATTCTGTCTAAGGCCTCCAGTAACGAGGCTCACCAACCAGTCTCATGGAGCTTCACACTTTTGATGATTTCTCTCTTATGTCAAGTTAAATATACCTGCATCTGTACTTCCTTTAAGAAAGTAGTCATAGTTATTTTTCAACATTATATTCTTCCTTGTCAATGCACTTAATCTAATGCTTCCCCATAGATCACACATTAATCAAATACTTTCAGTGAAAATTCAAGCTTGTATAGTCCTTTGTACAGCCTTGTATACTACTTTGTACAGCCCTGTGCTTAAACCACTGCGCTGTGATTTCAAGTGTCCTAATTCATTAAATACTCCCATTTCCTTCCCGTTTTATAACTAGGAGATGTTATGCAGCTTCCATTTTGTGTGGCTTACAATTAGCTAATTCAACTGATGTTACATTTGCCCATTTGTGATGTTTGAGATGGTTTTATAGTCATTCTTTTTAAGGTGTTTTTATCTATTTTCTCATTTGGACATAGTGATTACTTTGCATTTGAGTAATGGGTGACTGTTTAGGTCGTAACTTGTTGGAGAAACCAGGGTATTGAGTAAATGGGGCTGTAATTTGTAATGTTAATTTATCTTTCTTCACATTCCTTTCTTCTCTTTTTTTTTAATTTATTTCTTGCTTCTACACATTTCCCTGCCGTTCAGTTTCCACCCTTCTTTCTTTCTTTTTCACCCTCTTTCTTCCTCTCCTTTTTTTCTCCCCCTTTCTTTCCCGTCCTTTTCTCTCCCCCTTTCTTTCCCGTCCCTTTCTCTCCCCCTGTCTTTCCTGTCCCTTTCTTTCCCGTCCCTTTTCTCCCCTTTCTTTCCCATCCCTTTCTCTCCCCCTTTCTTTCCCGTCCTTTTCTCTCCCCTTTCTTTCCCGTCCTTTTCTCTCCCCTTTCTTTCCCGTCCCTTTCTCTCCCCTTTCTTTCCCGTCCCTTTTTCCCCCCTTTCTTTCCCGTCCCTTTCTCTCCCCCTTTCTTTCCCGTCCCTTTCTCTCCCCCTTTCTTTCCCCTTTCTTTCCCGTCCCTTTCTCTCCCATCTTTTTTTCTCCCTCTTTCTTTTTACCCCTCTTCTATTTGCATTTTTCTTTCACCTTCAATCCCTTCCTCTCTCTTTCTCCTGTTTTTTCTCTCTTCCATATTTTGTCCTGTAGTAGAGCATCACCATGATTTTACGTTACTTTTACCATCTCTAAGTCTCCAAACGCACAAAGAAAATATTCTGTATTAGTCTTAATAATACCAAAATCTCCAGATTACTGCAGTAGTTAGCAAATTTGCTTATCACATGATTACTACTCAATCTTCACAGGGTACTCTGATATTTTGACCTTGAATCAGAATAGGCTAAGCTTAGTAAATATCCTCAAAACTTGTATTACTCCTAACAGTACAAGCATCTTGAAAATTTCTATCTTCTTAATGTTGATGTTATATTATTTATATATTTATTAATATATTATGTTATAATATATTAATATATTTATTAAATATATATAATAATAATTAAGTTATAATTTTTAAATTATTTACTTTGATTATTTTTTGTGTTTGTTCTTAATTATAAAAAACATCTTCAACCTTAAAACTTAATGCATCTAATAATATTTTATTCCTAAAAAATGTCTTTAAAATATCTGCTGGGATATAATCATAGTTAAAGTATCTGATTAATCTTGTCTTTTATCCAGACACTATTGACTAATAGTACTTGTACCTAACCTTACTCTATACTTTAGTATTAAATTCAAATATTGCACCTGGTTGGGGGTGGGATTCATGTGGCTATATACTTTATTTGCTTTTGAATATAAAATCTTTTTGTTTTTCTCTTATTGTTATAATAATTGTTCACCCCCATTTAAATTTTTATGGCTCCTTTCGAATTGCAAGTGTCTTTAAAGCTTCAATAATTTTATCTTCTTTGATGTGCTCTATACCTATGGGCGATCTTGACTCTCCACAACTTCCTGTCTTTTGTTGCCTACGATCAAATCATACTGAAAATACCAGTTCTTGTTTGATCACCAGCATCAAGCCTGGTCAGTACTTAAATGGAGCACCACTTGAGAATACTGGCTACTGTAAGCAACCTTCAACATTCTGAAATATGTTTTGGCTTTTAATAACCCACAAAGGGTTGATAAACCTTAAAAAAAAAAACCAAATCAATCCATCCTGTCTTGTTGCTCTTAGTAAATTTTAGCTCTTCTATGTCTCTGTTCTACTGTTCAAACTCATAAGGTAGATTACTTACTGTTCCCCCAATTTCTCTGACCTTCAGTATGCCCTATGAGTGTTAAATTCTCTGTACCTTCTTTCCTTTTTATGTGTTCTGGAAGTTTCATCTGTACTTGTATCCTTTTATTTCTTATTTTCCTTAAGTATTCCTCATTGCTCATATGTTCAGTCCATGGTATTCTCAGCATCTGTCAATAGAACTGCATCTACATTACTTTAAGTCTCTTTTTTTTCTTCTGTGAAAAGATTGTTTAGAATTCATGTAACTTTTGTCCTATTTTAGCAATGTTAATTTTTATAATATTTATCTTAATGTTTTTTATATTTTTTTCTCTTATTGCTGACTTTTCTTGTGCAAAGTTTGTCAGGATATTTCTTATATTCCAGCACACTGATTGATAAAAATTATTTTTCCCAGTTATTTTCAACCTTTATGAGTGGCTGTTTCAAAGCATTTTTTTAAAAAAAAAACCTACATTTTATAAAACCAATAAATTACTATATTAAAAGAAAAATGCATCAAATTCTATGGGAGAATATAATATATAAATTTTTATATATCAAATTGGAAAAAAATTCAGTTTAACTCATTTTATTCATTAGGACTTCATCAGACTAAAATAATGTTTTTGTTGATGGAATTGTATATGTGTAGGAAGGGAAGGGGGTCTATAAGAATCAAACATTGATTATAATTATACACAGATAGAAAACACTGAAGACGTTAGAATTTTAAACTTTTAAATTAAAAATTTTTTTTTTTTTTTTTTTTTTTTTTTTTTTTTTTTAGATATGCCTGGATATGTAGTCTTGTCAATTTAGTTCAATGAAGTCATAAAGAATGAAATGCATCACAAAGAATTTTTGCATTTTGTCATAAAATCCAATCCTATCAATTTTATTAATTTACATTAAGATTTACTATATTTGATAGTCTTGTAAACCCCCAGCCATTTACAATTTTAGCCATTTTCTGGAGAAACAAATGGTCTTATATGTCATTAAATACAATTCTTTAGCCTTCATATTTGTTATAATTTTGGCTAATCCACATCGCCAAAATGTTGTAACCTAGGGAAGGTTACTGAATAGAATAATCACATGAAGGTTGGTAATAAACAATAATACTTAGCATAAGAACAACACATATAAGATTCGCCAGTGGCACGTAGAAGTAGTCAACTGCTAGAAGTGAGTCAAGTGAATTCCACAATGAATCTCCAACTGCATACCAACATACAATATTTACTACTATGTTTATATGAATGGGGACATACCCATTATTGTCCATACGTATGTGTGGTGGACATGAGACAGAACCTGGGACGAGCACAACTGGTCGCGACTTGCCTTGTCCCCGCCAAAAAAAAGCCCGTATTTGCTTAGCATGTAAAGCTACTGCAGTTGAAATGAGGGAGAAAAAAGCACTTACCGCTCTGCCGTAATCCCTTCCTCAGCTAGATAACGTAAAAGAATGAGGGGGGACTTGCATTGCATTTTTATACAATAAAGATGCAATGCATTATGGGACATGGACGCAATGAATCATGGGATCACATGAAGATGCAAGGGTATATGGACAAATATAAAAGCAACTACTTTTTCCCCGTGGGGGCAGTTCTTCTAGTGACGTTCACGGTTGGCGGCAAGAACAGTCTGTTAGTGTGATTTTGAGACAGAACTCAAGAAGGAACGACTCAAGGTTGAAATACCAGTTGGGAGAGCTTGAATTTACTCGCTGGTTGCTGTTTTCTTTATTCGCCTCAGTATACTACAACAATGTGCTACACATTTTACTTGTTGCTGCTGTTGGTAATCCCCAAGTGATGTAATTTCTGTTATTTGTTAGAGTTCTTTGTGATTTTGTAGTGCCAATCCACAATGTTCAAAGAAGGATAATGGGGACAATCATCCATAGGTATGCTACAGCACAAGACCTGTATACAAGAACTGCTGCTAATATATATTTATATATTCTGCAAATCAAAACTGGCTTATGGCCATATCACATTCACCTCAAGCAAGGCGATAAAACCTTTGGGATACAAAGAGTTAGTGTTGTAACCTAGGGAAGCTTATTGAATAGAATAATCAAACGAAGTTTGGTAATGAATGATAATATTTAGGACAAGAACAACACTTATAAGATTTGCCAGTGGCACATAGAAGTAGTAGTTAACTGCTAGAAGTGAGTCAAGTGAATTTCACAATGAATCTCCAACTGCAAACCAACATAGAGTATTTATTACTGTATTTATTTATGTGAATGGGGAACATACCCATTATTGTCTGTAGGTATGCTACAACAATATTAATGTACAAGAAATGAGAATAGTATTACCATGTAATTTATGTACTTTTAAGATACAAACAACTGAGTATCACACTAGATATATACCATATTTTATGGTATGTTTCATACTTTCACTATTTGCATTTAATATTACAATATTATGAGTTGAGGCTAGGTACAACTCTTGGTAATAATATATGCTAACTCAGTAAACATTAGCTTTCCACATATTCTACTCTGCATAAAAGACCTGGGGAAACTTGTTTTTTTTTGGTTTTTTTAATTTACATCCAGACTATTAGCCTCTTCTTCATTGTTGCTATCACAATGTTTCAGCCATTGTACCCTACAACCTCAATTAGGTGTTTCTCAATCCGAGTAATCCACAGGGAATTCCAAACTGAACTGTTTATTTAATCTATGGGGGTAGACTATTCATTCTAGTTCCACTGAACATATCTAGAGATATCTCATCTAGTTCTTATTTTTATTACTGCTCCATTTGTACACACTACTCAGCCCAGAGATTAAACTTACAATTACTATTTCACCATGAATCAACTAGATTTTTTTTTTTTTTGTTTCCATCTTTGTGGGATAAAAAATATTGGGAATTTATATGCTATGAAGTTGAGTTTTGTTCTGTCTTTGTTTTTTTTTTGTTGTTGTTTTTATAGCTTGAAATGATAAATAAAATTTTGATTCTTAATTAAATTATTGATAGTAGGTCATCCATTTATCTCTTGAAATAAATGGAGTGCCCTGTTTGGTGGTCAGATTAGAGCAGGGTTTTCCAACCTTTTTTGCATCATTGCAAATTTCAAATGGAAAAATCTTTCACTATCCATTTAGTAAATATTGAAAAGCATTCAGTGATGTGTAAATTATGTTTTGACCACAGCACATTTCCTGTCTTGATAAATTTGAGATGACCAATATGATAAAAAAAAAAAAGTAAAAAAATTTTTATATTAAATAGGAATTGTCCTGAGATCAAAGTTGTTCTTGGTCTTCCCTTATTTTTTTTTTTTTTTTTTTTAAGCATTTCACCCCAAGCAAAGTGGAAGTGCCACTAGCACACAAAGGGTTACAGAGAGTGAGAGCAAGAATAAAGAGTGGAGTTTAAGGAAAGGATATTGTTATATACCGTTACTATGAGCACTAATTGGTATGTTGTAATCCTCATAAATATGTTGGACACTATTGTAAGTGGGGGTAATATGCTGTCTAAGTAATCCACCACTAGCAGTGGTTTAACTATTTCACTCCACTGGCAAATATTGTATTTTGTTGATGTTATAAAGATTACCATTTCATTTCTAACCTGCGTTTTGGTTATACCCCATTCAGTAACCCTTTCTAGGTTACAACAGATATAGAGAAGGATGGGGATCAGGATCAAGGCATCAGAAGATGTTGATTGACATTACATTTGAAAAATTGAAGATTATAGCCATCAGGGAAGCAAGTAGGGGGAAGGGAGTTCCACTGTCGGGAAGAGCGAGAGTAGAAGCTGTTGGAGTAAAAGAGGTGGTACATTTAACCATTTTGACAGTGAAAGGGTGGGACCGAGATGTCAACCTAGTTACATGCTTAAATTCATACAGTTGGGGTACCAGTGAAAGTAGCTCATCAGAGCAGTTGCCATGAAAATATTTGTAGAAAAGACAGAGGGTAGCCACAGCATGTCTGTGAGA